TGGTTCTCCTTACTGCTGCCATCTTAGAAGGGCCTGGCTCCCCTTGGTGACTCAGCTAGTTACAGAATTTAAACTGCCACCTATGAGCAAGTCGCAAAAGCTCACATGCTGTGTGGCTCCATGGATACAAAAGGTCCGCGGAGACAGGAAGTGGATTCCTGGTTGCTAGGGGCAGGGCGGGGGGTGACTGCTGTGGAGCGTGCAGAGAGTGAAATCTCTGAGCCGTTTAGGAAAAAGGAAAAGCAGAGATGACCCTAGAACGTCACTCAGCAGGACGGGAGCGAGGCTCTGACGCCCGCCGCGGCGTGGACGAACCTTGGGGACGACGCGCTCAGTGAGACGCCAGACACAGAGGACGCACAGCGTGGGCTCCCTGGACAGGAAGCGCCCAGGACAGGCGAAGCCAGAGACAGGAAGCGCACTCGTGGGCGCCGGGCTGGGGGCCGACGGGTGCCGCTCACGGGGACCAGGCCTGCTTTGGGTGGTGGTGCGCTGTGGTGCGCTGAAGTCCACTCACGTGTGCACATTACGGAATAACTCACATGGGCGTGGCGGTGCACGCCTGTAATCCCAGCACTCGGGGGCTGAGACAGGACAACCAAAAGTTCCAGCCCAGCCTGGAAACTTAGTGACTTGGACCCTGTCTCAAAAAATAAAGAGGGCTGCAGATATAGCTCGTGCAGAGGCCCTGGATTCAACCTTCAACACTGGAAAAGAATTATGGATGGTATAGGAATTATATTTTAATCTTTTAAAGCTGCCATCTGTAGGTGGGGTAGGGCTCAGCGGTGAGCCCGTGCTTCGCATGCCAGAGTCCTTTGGTTCTGCACCGAGTACAGCAAAAAATAAACAGAAACGCCATTTCCTCTCCTGCGCCCCACTTCTGTTCATTCTCAGTCTCGCAGCCCCGTGAGGCTCTAGTGAAAGTGGATCACCTGCTGTATTCTCAGCTACTCCAGAGGCTGAGGCAGGAGGATGACAAATTCGAGGTCAGCCTGGGCCTCTTAGTGAGGCCCTCTCAAAATAAAAATCATCCAGAAACCAGGCATAGTGGCACACACCTGTAATCCCAGCACTTGAGAGGCTGAGGCAGGGGAACTGCTGAGAGTTTGAGGCCGTCCTAGGCTAGAAAGTGAGTTCAAGGCCAGCCTGAACTACACAGTGAGACCCTGTCTCAAAAAGACCAAAAAAAAAAAAAAAAA